AGGGGTACAGAAGTGGCTGCATCAATGTCAGACTCTGAGATAATGAAGGCAATGGCCTTTGCAACACACTTCACATCAGTAATGAGGGAATTCTCAGACTTCAGGAGGACCCCTTTGCCTACCACGAATTCTTTGGGAAGAGATTGAGAGGCCTCTTTGGTTGACGCAGAGGTAGCATAACCAGGGAGAGTGCGAACAGTGTCCAAGGCCCTCTCTACTTCATANTTGCAGCACGCTTCACATCAGTAATGAGGGAATTATCAGACTTCAGGAGGACCCCTTTGCCTACCACGAATTCTTTGGGAAGAGATTGGGAGGCCTCTTTGGTTGACGCAGAGGTAGCATAACCAGGGAGAGTGCGAACAGTGTCCAAGGCCCTCTCTACTTCATATACAGAAGGGGATGACTGGCCTCGCCCAGGAGCATCTTCATTGGCAGGTTGGGTCCCATGGGAGAAAGGAAGTCCTGAGGTAGGTGAAGCATGTAGGGCGGATGGTGGAGCCTTCTGGATAAAGGCAGAGGTAGAGCAAACACCCATTTTCTGAACCTTAGCTCGAGTAACAGGGCTCCCACCAGAACTGCCCTCAGCCTTGCGCTTGGAACCACCCTTATTTTTCTTCTTCAATTGCTCGACCTTAGCCTGGAGCATCTCAGGGGTGGGCCTCATTGTAGAAGACCCTGGGAGATATGACTTGAGCTGGTCAGTTAAGAGGAAAAAGAAAGGGAGGAAAGCAGTGAAATCGAATAAGGGAAAGAGCATTACCTTCTATGTCCTCAGGTCAGATAAAGGAAAATGGGGTTGGAGCTTCTATCACTGTCTCAAGAGGACCGAATCCCTGCCTTCCTAATTCCCAGGGCTTATGAGCTTAGAGTACCTCTCTGGATTACACTTAGCCAACTTCAGCTTCACTCGCTCGTCCTTGGCGCTGAGTTCAGGTCGAATGCCTAAAAAATAATAAAAAAAAAAAAAAGGCAACACCAAAGATGCAGAGGTCAGGATCACAACTCATAAACCTTCATACCGCAATTCAGTCAGGCAAGAACTCACCTAAGTTTTTTGGGGCTGTCCAGGCNTGGCGCTAAGTTCAGGTTGAATGCCTAAAAAATAATAAAAAAAAAAGAGGCAACACCAAAGATGCAGAGGTCAGGATCACAACTCATAAACCTTCATACCGCAATTCAGTCAGGCAAGAACTCACCTAAGTTTTTTGGGGCTGTCCAGGCTTTGAGAATCCCAAGAGTGTCTGTTTTATCAGCAGGATTGTATTCCCAGTTAACACCCCCAATGAAAATGAAATTCTTTTTCCAGCCTTTATGAGAACTCGGGATGTGTGTGATGATCTGCCTAGACGAGGTCCGCTTAGAAATATATAGAAAGCCCTCAGTTGAGATAAGCTTGACAGTGAAGAGGTCCATAAGCAGAGAAATGGTAGGAGTCTCAAGCCCATGCTTCTTAAAGAAAACTAAAAGNCCCAGTTGACACCCCCAACGAAAAAGAAATTATTTTTCCAGCATTTATGAGAGTTCGGGAGGTATGTGATGACCTGCCTAGACGAGGCCCGCTTAGAAATATATAGAAATTCCTCAGTTGAGGTAAGCTTGACATTGAAGAGGTCCATAAGCAAAGAAATGGTGGGAGTTCCAAGCCCATACTTCTTAAAGAAAACTAAAATACCCACTAANGACAGTGAAGAGGTCCATAAGCAGAGAAATGGTAGGAGTCTCAAGCCCATGCTTCTTAAAGAAAACTAAAAGACCCACTAAAACACCCCAGAAGTTAGGAGAAAACTAAGCAGGGCAGACATTGAGGTGCTGCAGAACATTTTTGATGAAGGGGTGCATAGGAAAATGAAGGTCATTCTCGAAAGCGGCCACAAAGAAGCAAACTCTTTTGTGTACTTGGGCAAGATATGGGGTGAGTTTATCCAGACACCAGGGCTGAACACCAGGGGAAAAGCCAAAACGANGGGAGAAAGCTGAGCAGGGCAGACATTGAAGTGCTACAAAATATTTTTGATGAAGGGGTGCATAGGGAAACGAAGGTCATTCTCGAAAGCGGCCACAAAGAAACAAACTCTTTTGTGCACCTGGGCAATGTATGAGATAAGTTTTTTCGGACACCAGGGGCAAAGCGAAAGCGAGCACTAAGAGCNAAGCACTAAGAGCTTCCATGAGAATAAGATCCACCCCACTGGGACCCATGAACTCAACATGCCTGAAGGCAGCCCCCATACCCGCTGCACTATCAGGAATCCTAACCTCACTCANTGAACTCAACATGCCTAAAGGCAGCCCCCATACCCGCTGCACTATCAGGAATCCTAACCTCACTCACCTTGCCCTTACCCTTGTCAGCACTAGGAGGTACATGAGAGGAAGATGAGGGGAGTTCCTTGGAGTCCACCTCGGTATCGACAACCTCAACACCGGGGAAATTGTTAATTTCATCACCTACATCCCCTAAATCAGAATCTCTCTCGGCAGACCTGTCGCCTAGGAGGGAAACAGAGGAGGGAGTTGCTCCAGAGGAGGCAGACATGATTGGCAAGGAGAATAACAAGTCGAAAGAATGATAAAAAGGAGGAATACTAACTAAACACCCCCTGGTAATCCTAGGGTCAGCACTGTACCTCCCAACAGTAAGAATTTGCACTGTGGAATTCCAATTCCCAAAGTGAGGAAGAGGAGATAGGCAACAATCGTGATTCCAAAAGAAAAAGAACCGAAAAAATTCAGAAAAATAATGGCCACCTCGAAATCGAGGGATCTAGAGCGAGGAAAGGCAAGAGAAAGAGAAAGGGGCAGAAGGAGCCATACCTAGACAGGGAAAATAGCAGCAAACAGCAACAAAAGGACAAAATTGGAGGAGAAGAGCAAAGCAGGACTTCAAGTCACACCCAGAAAGCACAGTCTTGAGCAGATAATCGCGTGGAGGAAAGCCCAGAAATCGCAGAGAGAAAGAGCCAGAGACGAAGATGAACAATATAGAAGATGGAAGGTGGTTTTGTGCGGTTTTCTTTCAGCCATTTGAGTATTTAAGGCTTGAAAGACATGGGATGAGGCGTGCATGGGAATCAAGGGAGCCATGATTGTTGTAACCATCAAAAAGCCCCTCCCACGTGCATCTCACATGCAGACTAAGGTCAGCTAGGTGCAGGTCTAGTCCAAGGTAAAAGCAGCTCAGCCCATACCCAAGCTCGCTTGGGCCAAGGGCTGGGGGGCAACTGATGATACCTCAAAATAAATCTCAAGTGCCAGCTCAAGAGGTCAGACTAGACAAACAGAACTCGAAAGAGTAGAGCTGGAGGTCCCTTCGAGATAAGCAATGACAATAACAATCAGGGCAACAACTGGATAATCATGAGAGGTTCCTAAAGCGTTAGGAAGCTATAATCAAGACACCTAATCTCAACCAACCAAGATCTTCTCCTAGAATTATGGAGAACCCCACGAAGTAAGGACAAGAATCTCGGCCAGAATCCCACTTAACAGGGAATGACCCTATAAATGCACTGTAACACCTCCTANCAATAACAACCAGGGCAACAACTGGATAATCATGAGAGGTTCCTAAAGCGTTAGGAAGCTATAATCAAGGCACCTAATCTCAACCAACCAAGATCTTCTCCTAGAATTATGGAGAACCCCACGAAGTAAGGACAAGAATCTCGGCCAGAATCCCACTTAACAGGGAATGACCCTATAAATGCACTGTAACACCTCCTAACAGGGGAGGAGAACCCTAGTGGCAATAGGAAGCCATAGCAACTTTGCGATCATCGTGAATAAAACAAAAGGAGCAAGAACCTCCATTGAAGAGTGGACTAGCCGAGTTCTTGAGCCGGTGAACCACTATATTTTCACTATGTGCACCCCTTTAAAATCCNCACAGGGGAGGAGAACCCTAGTGGCAATAGGAAGCCATAGCAACTTTGCGATCATCGTGAATAAAATAAAAGAAGCAAGAACCTCCATTGAAGAGTGGACTAGCCGAGTTCTTGAGCCGGTGAACCACTATATTTTCACTATGTGCACCCCTTTAAAATCCCCTAAATATTTTATGCTAGCATCATACACTAGCCTCGTAGCTCTGATCCACGCTCATCTCACATTACTTTCACCTTAAGTTCATCCACGTTATCTGAAAAGACCAGAAATGCACCATGATATGGGTTCCTAGGAATCATGGCCAAAAGTTCGGCTCTCCAACAATTATCTGAATTTATCATATTATCATATTTTTGAGATGTAGTTCATGTAGTCATTTGTTGTGTTTTGGAGTGAGAACCATTACGATATTAAGAAGTTCGCTTTGGTGTTTGGTCATTCCAAGATTAGGCAGCTTTATATAGTTGAAACAGTTTTTTTTCTTCGGGTAGTTAATTGAACTCTGTGCTTCGGGGGGGTATTCCTATAAATGACCCCTATTCCCTCCCTTTTCTTGTTTTTGTCCTTATTTTTATCTTAAATTGTAGACTGAAAAAGGAAACTATTGAACTGTAGCTCAATAGAAAATTTCTCCTATATGAAGCCTCCCTTACAAAGAGTATAGGCAGGTATGACTTTTTACTTTTGCTTGCATGTGAATCTATGCATAGTGTCAAGATATGTTTTTACTCGCTTGTGGACAGCGCCATGTGCTCTGCCTTGATCTCAATGATTGTTTAGAGATGGGTTTAAAATTGTAAGTGGCTTGTACTTTTAGGGGCATTCTATTTTTTTTCTGCCCGAGTCTAGTGAGTATAAATATAAAGAATAAGAGAGAATCCTGCAACTTTCTTTCTGTCATTGCTCTTTTCTTCTCTTTTCCTCCTATTCAGTACGATATCTTGTTATCACTACAGGATTCTGAGAACTACACATGATTCTCTCACTCCACATCTTCTAATGAATCTGATCCAAATTGCAAGCATATTGTTCTCTATATACACTCATCACTGTCTTTAAATATCATTATTTAACTCCATTATTTATATCTTGCATCTGCAGATCCCACATACATGATCCGAGCTATTCCTAGTAACGCATCAGACAATATCTACTGCACACTTCTTGCACAAAGCGCTGTTCATGGCGCCATGGCAAGATACACAGGCTTCACTGTCGGACCTGTAAACAGCAGACATGCTTATATTCCAATTGGCGTGAGCACTCCTATTCCTTGGTCTGCATTTGTGTTCGATAATATTTATTTGGAGTTGTGCTGCTTATATATAATTTGGTGAATTGAATATTCAAGTTTGCTCTACCATGTGGAAATCTGATTTTACCTGATGGTGTGCGGCATTGCAGTCTGTGACTGAGACTCAGAATAACAATCTGATTTTCCTTTCTGTTAATTGTTCTGGCCGGTACAGTTCACATGCTTCTTCCTTCTAGAGAGTTCCCCAAAAAAAAAATCTTTCCACTTCTCGGGGTAAGTAAAGGGAAAAATAGTTTTTCTCATGTATTCGAAATAGTCAAATTCGTCGATAACACAAAAAAACTATGTTATTGGTTATGATACTGTTCATTTCTCCGCTGAACAAAATACCCATAAGTTAGATTCTTGGGATCTATGACAGTTTCACTTATGTTAATCGTTCATTTTTTATCTGGGGCATTTCAGGTGCCTTTGTCATTATTTGGAGGTTCTGGAAACTATGCATCTACTTTGTACATTGTAGCAATAAAAGCTAATGTATTGGAAAAGGTTGGATCCGAGCTTCTTGACCTTGTTGAGGCTTCAAAGAAAAGTCCCACATTTTCTCAATTCACGAAGGATTCGTTAGTACCTGCTGATACTAGAGTAAAAACTATTAATGAAATTTGTTGTGAAGCTAAATTTTCGAACGTCACAAAAATTTTTTTGGGTGTGATGATTTGCTAGTGGTCACTTTTGGTTATGTATTAAAATATTTTGGAAAACTTGTATGTAGATTACATTGTTGGATATTTTGATGATTTATATAATTTTTATTAAGTGTATTATATTTTATGTTTTTGTTAGTATGGTATTTGATGTTAGTTTGTGTTGGAAAAGATGTGAAGTGTATTAATTGTGTTAGTTTTTTATTGAACACAAGTATTAGTGGTGTACAGGTGAAAAATTTTATTGGAATACCATTTTTTAAGAAGGGTTATTTTAAAAATAAAAAATAAACTTTTTTGCGAGGAAATTAAAATCGTCTCGAAAAATTGTAGGGACAATCTTTTTAGCGATAATTTTTATACGTCGCAAATGTATTTATTCAATTATTTTTTACATTTTTATTTATATAAAAATTTATTTGCAATGATTTTTTTGTGTCGCAAAAAATTAATTAAATTATTATTTTTTATATTTTTTATTTATATAAAAATTTATTTGTGACTATCTTTTTACATTACGAAAAATTAATTAAATTATTATTTTTAATATTTGTATTTATGTAGAAAATTAATTAAATTATTATTTTTTACATTTGTTATTTACGAAAAAAATTTATTTGAGACGATTTTTTTGCATCGCAAAATATTAATTAAATTATTATTTTTTTATTTTTTTACACTGGTGGAATAGATTTTAGCTACGCTTTTTAAAATTTTAGCAAATTTTTTTTTGTCTCAATTTTTTTTTTTTTGTGATGAAAATAATATTGCGTCGCAAAATATTTCTACGAAGAGGCTATTGTGACGAACATGCGACAAAAAACAAATATTGCAAAAAATAAATGTCAACGATTTTTTTTGAATTTAGCGACCAAAAAAATCGTTGTAAAAAATGATTTTTGTTGTAGTGTATCAAATGCCCTACATCCTGAACAACACCCAAAAGCTACCACTAACGAGGATAATCAAACTCCACGCTAATTGATGATATTGCATAATCTTATGCCTTAAACGATTCATCTTAGTTTTGTTTATTAGTTATATGTTTAGGTTTAATTTAGTTTGTGTGCTAAGAGGAATCCATGTGTTTGTTGGTAATCCGGTGAAAGAATGGATGATTTATATTCATTTTAATGTCGTGGAAAACTTTGGAAAGGAGTAGAATCGAACCAAGAACATTGTGGCAAAAATTCAGAAAAAGAGTTACTCTACCCGTTCATTATTCCTGCTTTCGACTGGTTCATCGAACCAGAAACTTTGCTACCAGTTCATCATTCCTGCTTTCTACCGGTTCATCAAAACAGAAACTTTCCTACTGGTAGGTCAGGAAGGCTTTCTACCGGTAGAAGCGGTAAAAATTCAGAAACATGATTTTTATGGAAATTTTGATGGCCAAATCTATGAGATACTTTCGGAGATATTTTTGGAGATTTTTAGGAGTGAGAGAGAAAGAGGTAAAAGAGGATCTTTATCATCAGGCTCTCTCTCTCTCTCCCTCTTGTTTCCTTTAAATACCGAAGCATCGGAGGATCCAAGGCATCCTCTCTCAAACGTTCTTCATCAGCTGGGTTCTTTCTTGGAGGCAGAANAAGCGCTGTTCATGGCGCCATGGCAAGATACACAGGCTTCACTGTCGGACCTGTAAACAGCAGACATGCTTATATTCCAATTGGCGTGAGCACTCCTATTCCTTGGTCTGCATTTGTGTTCGATAATATTTATTTGGAGTTGTGCTGCTTATATATAATTTGGTGAATTGAATATTCAAGTTTGCTCTACCATGTGGAAATCTGATTTTACCTGATGGTGTGCGGCATTGCAGTCTGTGACTGAGACTCAGAATAACAATCTGATTTTCCTTTCTGTTAATTGTTCTGGCCGGTACAGTTCACATGCTTCTTCCTTCTAGAGAGTTCCCCAAAAAAAAAATCNATTTTTTTACACTGGTGGAATAGATTTTAGCTACGCTTTTTAAAATTTTAGCAAATTTTTTTTTGTCTCAATTTTTTTTTTTTTGTGATGAAAATAATATTGCGTCGCAAAATATTTCTACGAAGAGGCTATTGTGACGAACATGCGACAAAAAACAAATATTGCAAAAAATAAATGTCAACGATTTTTTTTGAATTTAGCGACCAAAAAAATCGTTGTAAAAAATGATTTTTGTTGTAGTGTATCAAATGCCCTACATCCTGAACAACACCCAAAAGCTACCACTAACGAGGATAATCAAACTCCACGCTAATTGATGATATTGCATAATCTTATGCCTTAAACGATTCATCTTAGTTTTGTTTATTAGTTATATGTTTAGGTTTAATTTAGTTTGTGTGCTAAGAGGAATCCATGTGTTTGTTGGTAATCCGGTGAAAGAATGGATGATTTATATTCATTTTAATGTCGTGGAAAACTTTGGAAAGGAGTAGAATCGAACCAAGAACATTGTGGCAAAAATTCAGAAAAAGAGTTACTCTACCCGTTCATTATTCCTGCTTTCGACTGGTTCATCGAACCAGAAACTTTGCTACCAGTTCATCATTCCTGCTTTCTACCGGTTCATCAAAACAGAAACTTTCCTACTGGTAGGTCAGGAAGGCTTTCTACCGGTAGAAGCGGTAAAAATTCAGAAACATGATTTTTATGGAAATTTTGATGGCCAAATCTATGAGATACTTTCGGAGATATTTTTGGAGATTTTTAGGAGTGAGAGAGAAAGAGGTAAAAGAGGATCTTTATCATCAGGCTCTCTCTCTCTCTCCCTCTTGTTTCCTTTAAATACCGAAGCATCGGAGGATCCAAGGCATCCTCTCTCAAACGTNAAATGGAAAAGATGTGAAGTGTATTAATTGTGTTAGTTTTTTATTGAACACAAGTATTAGTGGCGTACAGGTGAAAAATTTTATTGGAATACCATTTTTTAAGAAGGGTTATTTTAAAAAAAAAAAATAAACTTTTTTGCGAGGAAATTAAAATCGTCTCGAAAAATTGTAGGGACAATCTTTTTAGCGATAATTTTTATACATCGCAAATGTATTTATTCAATTATTTTTTACATTTTTATTTATGTAAAAATTTATTTGTAACGATTTTTTTGTGTCGCGAAAAATTAATTAAATTATTATTTTTTATATTTTTTATTTATATAAAAATTTATTTGTGACTATCTTTTTACATTACGAAAAATTAATTAAATTATTATTTTTAATATTTGTATTTATGTAGAAAATTAATTAAATTATTATTTTTTACATTTGTTATTTACGAAAAAAATTTATTTGAGACGATTTTTTTGCATCGCAAAATATTAATTAAATTATTATTTTTTTTATTTTTTTGCACTGGTGGAATAGATTTTAGCTACGCTTTTTAAAATTTTAGCAAATTTTTTTTTGTCTCAAATTTTTTTTTTTTTGCGATGAAAATAATATTGCGTCGCAAAATACTTCTACGAAGAGGCTATTGTGACGAACATGCGACAAAAAACAAATATTGCAAAAAATAAATGTCAACGATTTTTTTTTAATTTAGCGACAAAAAAATTCGTTACAAAAAATGATTTTTGTTGTAGTGTATCAAATGCCCTACATCCTGAACAACACCCAAAAGCTACCACTAACGAGGATAATCAAACTCCACGCTAATTGATGATATTGCATAATCTTATGCCTTAAACGATTCATCTTAGTTTTGTTTATTAGTTATATGTTTAGGTTTAATTTAGTTTGTGTGCTAAGAGGAATCCATGTGTTTGTTGGTAATCCGGTGAAAGAATGGATGATTTATATTCATTTTAATGTCGTGGAAAACTTTGGAAAGGAGTAGAATCGAACCAAGAACATTGTGGCAAAAATTCAGAAAAAGAGTTACTCTACCCGTTCATTATTCCTGCTTTCGACTGGTTCATCGAACCAGAAACTTTGCTACCAGTTCATCATTCCTGCTTTCTACCGGTTCATCAAAACAGAAACTTTCCTACTGGTAGGTCAGGAAGGCTTTCTACCGGTAGAAGCGGTAAAAATTCAGAAACATGATTTTTATGGAAATTTTGATGGCCAAATCTATGAGATACTTTCGGAGATATTTTTGGAGATTTTTAGGAGTGAGAGAGAAAGAGGTAAAAGAGGATCTTTATCATCAGGCTCTCTCTCTCTCTCCCTCTTGTTTCCTCTAAATACCGAAGCATCGGAGGATCCAAGGCATCCTCTCTCAAACGTTCTTCATCAGCTGGGTTCTTTCTTGGAGGCAGAACTTTGAGGGCAGAGGAGGATCAAGCTAGTCTTCTATTACCGGTTTTTCTACATTAGTATTACTTTC